CCATATTGGCGACCCATTGGGGGATATTTTGACTCCCTGATTGAGCCATTTTCAAATAATTTTTCAACCTCTTCGCATACTGCATCATTGATTGTGAAGTTGAACTTGCAACGGACCTGTCTCACCGGGGGGTGGGGGTGGAATAGATCAATGTTCAATTTGTTTGTAGAGATTTCCTTTGGAACGCTTGTCATATCTCATGGCTAAAAGCAAGCAGGTCCGCGTTAGTAGTCAAGAATTAACGAAACTTACTTGGTTCCTGAAGTTTACAGCCGATGTAAGCTTCTTGCTATGATTGTTGCTATCTAATTGGAGGGGGTCAAGGTCTTCTATGGTCGATTCCGCGGCTTCAACCACATCGAGGTCTTTGATGATGTCCTCATTCGACATCGACCCTATTGATTACTATGCCTCTTTTTCTTTGTCCTTCGTTTGTTGAGGGACTGTATAGTCTAAAGTGATACAGTAGCATTCCTGAGATGTGCGTTGTTCCCCTCGTATACTAAATATTCCCCATGGAGTTAGGAATTTGATGACTTGGTATAAACTGGAGGGGATAACTCTTATGGTATATATCAATGGCCGTCCAATTATGGCGTTGTATGCTGTGTCTTGGTCAATGATATGAAATGTGGTTTCCAGAGTGATGCCACCAGCTAGGACGGGGAGTGTGATCTCGCCGGATGTCCGCTCAACTGCATTGTTAAAACCCGTAACGTGATGCAACACGACACTATTTTATCCTCGAGTCTCACTTGTGCAAGTACTCGAGGGTAGATAATGCATGCGCCGCTTCCATAGTCTACCATAATGCGTCTCACATCAGTATCTAAATTCGTAAAGTGATAACAAGGGCATCATAGTGAGGGAAAACCAAACCATTGGTATCTGAATTATCGAGGATGATACTTTCTTCGAGTTCATCATACCGTTCATGGGTGATCGACCGTTTGAGTTTGTGAGTTGTGGTGAATTTCACACTGTTGATAGAAGCATCGTTGCCGCCACCAATGATCATGTGGATGGTGTGGGTTGGTGAGGGCGGTTTCGGCAGTCCTTGATGTTGTTCACGTCCTCTGAAAAAATCGGCCCTTCCTCGATCGCTCAGTAACTCTTTGAGGTATCCCTGTCGTAGCATGTTTACAACCTCCTATCTTAGGGCGGTGCAATCCTCGATTTTATGTCCTCGCTCTTGATGGAGCTCGCAAAGGGCATCTGAATTTCTGGTATTCGGGTCTGACCTTATCTTTTGTGGCCCCTTCACCTTAGTCCCGAGCTTCTCCAAGGAGTAGACTATTTCTGTAGGTGACACATAAAAATTGTGAGCGGATAATAGGGGTGCATACCTCTTTCATTCCGGTGAGTCCCTTCTCTTGATCGGGGTGGGCCCTCTTCGTGACGGGAAGAGGATGCAATGGCGGTTCTGAAATACGGTAGATGTCGCTCCTTATTGGGTCGTGGAGTTGCGAGGTCCCTCCTGATATCATTTCTTCGATCTTTTCTGGGTTCGACTTGTATCGAGATCAGTCGATGAGTCGGCCTATATGGGTCATCCTCTTCTGCTAAAACTTTGACACAATACGCGTTGTATATTTCATCCCAAGTCGTTGGGGGGGGGGTACTTCATAAGCCGACTTAATAACTTTCTTGTTTCCCTTGAACCATTTCTGCTCAGCCCATTCTGGAAAGCTGCGACAACCATCCCTTCCGATACATTCGGTAAGGACATTCTTACTCGGTTGAATCGGGCAAGGAAATCCATTAATCCCTCTCCCGGAGGCTGTTTGATACGAATATGTCGTCTACTCTCGCCTCTGGCTTCTTGGCCTAGAGTGGGCCATTACGAACTTGTCCGCCACTTCTTCGAATATTTCAATGGAACATGCGGGCAACTGACAATACCATGTTAATGCTCCTCCGGTGAGGGTCTCCCTAAACTTTTTCAACAAGATGGAGGATACTTGTTCCTTGGCGAGGTCATTGCCTTTCACGGCGGTGACGTAGTGAGTCATATGGTCTTCAGTGTCGTTCGTGCCATTATACATTTTCAGGTAAGGTGGCATTTTAAAGGTTTTTAGTATGGCGTGTAGGGCAGCATTATCACTATATGGCTGCTCGACGAACAGACCAACATCTTTCTTTAGCAAGAGCTTTGGGGCACCTGGTATCTTATCGACCCTTTCCCGGTGTTCTCTCATTTGGTCCCGAAGTACCTTGTTCTCATTTTCCATTTCCTCTATCCTTTTCAGAATGGTCGTGAGAGTGTCATCACCTGCATTGTTAACAACATTGTGAGTGATACATGTCGTTGTAGGAAAATGAGGTAGTTGATCATGTTGCTCGTCTGCTGGTGGTATAACACAGGTCCTTGCGCTTTCTGTGGACGCATCCCGAATGGGCTTATGGAGGACACTGGTTAGCGTGTAGTTAACCAAGCCTCAAGGATCCTTTTTTACTGCTGGCAGCGCCTCCTCTATCACGGATGTGGAGGCTTCCTTACCATGAGATTTCGTGATTCTACAGTGAGGAGGGGGTGATCTGCCTTGCTTGGGCGAGACATTGGGTGTCACCTCCTCGTCCACTACTTCAAAGCTCTCATTGATGATGTTCACGAGGTTGGTTGGGAGGCCACTCATTATTCTCGCTCTTTCTTCTCTGTTACCTGCCATATTAGATCTGTGTATACAAAGAAAAAGGGAGTTTTGTTCTTGGTCTTTTTTTTACGTTAGCAATCTGTTTAGTTGTAGATCTATAGGAAACCAAAAATTTAACTAGAAAATTCCCACAGACGGCGCCAAATTATTTGACCAAAAAGTGTTAACTTTCGGTTAAACGATTAATCTTACGTAATAAAGGGTTAAACCTATTTAATGGTAATATCTCTAGATATAGATCTTGAAGTACGGATAACGTGGGATTGAGTTAGTGGGAGATGAAAATAACACACATTAAATATTCCAAAAGGTATGAGCAGTAATAGAGGAGTAACTAACAATAAATAATAATAAATAGCATTTAAGTAAATAGGAGGAGTTATTCACCCAATAGTGAACGAATTAGATGATTGTTCCTCCTGACAATGATGGGTGACAGACAAATCCCAGAGTGTTCGAACTATTCTTGGATCTGATGGAAAAGTATGGAATAATATGAGTGAGAATATTGATGAAAAGGTAAAGTTTGTATTTTTGTTAGAGAGAGAGAATCTTCTTCTGAACAGTGTTCTTATCAAGTGAATATTACATGCCCTACACCATTATCTCTTTTTTCTATTTATATGAGACATGTCCCTAATAAACCCTAATTGTATAAATGCAGAGAATATTCACTAGAGTATTCTATTTAATATCCTATTTCAAAAACTAGCCGTTACTATTCCGTCAACGGTGCTCGACCTCGGTCATCGTGGGCATCCCGACCATGAATCTCGCTGCTTCCTGGTCGACATCGACTAAATCTTTCCTTAATGCTATATACCTTAAATATTCTAGGGCATATTTTGATCAATATAGTTATAGGTTTGAATCTAGATCTAGACATTCTATTTTTTGAAGATATTTGAGCGAGCACTTTTGTTAAAAGTTTGAGGTTAAGGAGAGGTTAACCTACTTGAGCTCTGCCCTATTAAGGTCTCACCAAAACCAAAAAAAAAGGAAAAAAGAAAAAAAAAGAAATGAAGCCAAAAAAAAGAATGGAAAAGGTTCAAATACCCCTTGAACTTTACGATAAGGTGTACAAATAACCCTCGTCAAAAGTTTGGCCCATTACCCACCTTGCCGTTACACTTTTGGCTCGGATACCCCCTTAATTCTAAACGACTGACACGGTGGATAAGTTATCCACTCATAATTTGACATGTGGAATTTTAATTTACACCCAAATATTTTAATTCACACCCAACCGGATCTAATTAACCTACCCATTACCCGTGACCCGACCCGTAAATTGAAAACCCCTTTCTAAAAAACACCCGAATTTTACTTCACTTATCAACTAGGGATAACTCTTCTTCTCAATCTCAGCAAAGATCTTTGGATGAAGCGGTAGATTTGAGTCACAAGAATCAACAATGGAAATGGTAGATTTGAGTCACAAGATGAAAATGAAGCAGTGAAAGGGAGTCATGGGCTTGGCGGCGGTGGTATTGGTAGGCTTTGTGGGTGGCCTTCAAATCTGATTGTTCGAGTTTCTCGTGCATCAGGAGGGAAAGATAGGCACAATAAAGTGTGGACTTCAAAAGGACTCCGAGATCGGAGAGTTAGCCTGTCTGTTAACACAGCTATACAGTTCTACGATTTGCAAGATCGACTTGGTTATGATCAACCAAGCAAAACTGTTGAATGATTGTTAAAAGCATCAGCTCCTTCAATCTCTGAGCTTCCTTCTCTCAATGCTTTTCCAGACACACAACATATCAGTGAGGATAAAAGGTCTAGTGCTGGAACTGATGAAATAGACGGTGATCCAAATTACCAACAACAACAACAACATGTGTCTTTGTCGAAAAAGAAAGCTGCACTAGTGATTATCGTATAGTGAAGGAGACGAACATGTGACTGATGAACTCGAAGATCTTTGTTGAGATTGAGAAGAAAAGCTATCCCTAGTTGATAAGTGAAGTAAAAATTCAGGTGTTTTTAAGAAAGAGGTTTCCAATTTACGGGTCGGGTCACGAGTAATGGGTAGGTTAATTAGATCCGGTTGGGTGTGAATTAAAATATTTGGGTGTAAATTAAAATTCCACATGTTAAATTATGAGTGAATAACTTATCCACCATGGCAGCCGTTTAGAATTAAGGGGGTATCCGAGCCAAGAATGTAACGACAAGGTGGGTAATGTGCCAAACTTTTAACGAAGGTTATTTGTAGACCTTATTTCAAAGTGTATTTGGACCTTTTTCGAAAAGAGAAAAGAAAAGGACAAAAGGTTCAACAAATTTTAGTTTTCTTTTAGATTTCACAAAAAATAAGAAAAGTAAATATAAATAGTGCCCGGCATGGAAATTGCTTGCTCTGCAAATGCGATGGAAGCCTAAAGAAAAACAAGAAGACAACTTCAGTCAGCTGCTTACTGAAACCTCCGTATAAACCCCATCTTCCCCATTTGTTTCTCTCTGTAAAACCCCAAAAATCAAACACCAATGAGTTCCCCAACTCCAGGATATCCTCCATTGAATCCTTCTCAACTAATCCAAACAATCACCACTCTTCTCTCTTCCTCCAAATCCCTCCCCAAATCCACTCTCAAATCCTACCTCCCTCACCTCACCCTTCCCATTATCCACTCCATTCTCTCCTCCCCTACCCTCTCTTCTCACCCCACCACCCTCTTCTCCTTCTTCCAATGGTCTCAATCCCACATACCCTCTCTCTCCACCCACCCCCTCCCTTTTCCTGCCCTCCCCTCTCTCTTATCCTCCCTCTTATCCCATCGCAAATTCAAGATTGCCAAATCCCTTCTCCTTAACTTTATCCCTTCTGATCACCCCCAACACCTTCTCCACCGTCACCTCCTTCACCCCATTTCCTCTTTCCCTCAACCCTCAAGGGATTTGTTGGATACTGCTATTGGTTCTTATTGCCAGTGTGAACAACCCCATCTTGCTCTTCAGATTTTCAAGAAAATGAAACGCCTTCGAATGTGCCCGAATTTGCTGACTTTTAATACTTTGATTAATGCATTGGTAAAGTACCCTTCTACTCACTCTGTTGATTTGTGTAATGAGCTGTTCAATGATGTGCTTAAGCTTGGTTTGGCTCCGAATACGAATACTTTCAATATTTTGATTAGAGGGTATTGTTTAGTTTACAAGTTTAAGGATGCTAATGGCTTGTTGAATAGAATGAGTGAGTTTGGTTGCGTGCCAGATAATGTGAGTTATAATACTTTATTGGATGGATTGTGCAAGAAAGGTAGGTTGAATGATGTTAGGGATTTGTTATTGGATATGAAGGGTAAAGGTCTCGTGCCAAACAAGAATACGTATAATATTTTGGTACATGGTTATTGTAAAATGGGGTGGTTGAAGGACGCTGCTCAGGTCGTCGAGCTGATGACTCAGAACAATACATTGCCTGATCTTTGGACATATAATATGTTGATTGATGGTCTGTGTAATGAAGGAAGGATCGATGATGCCTTTAAGCTTCGGGATGAGATGGTAGGGTTGAAATTGTTGCCTGATGTGAAAACTTATAACACCTTGATTAATGGGTGTCTTGATAATAAGAGAAGTTCAGAGGCCTTTGATCTGCTTGAAGAAATGAATAAGAAAGGGATCAAATGTGATGAATTTACTTATAATACATTAATTAAATGGTATTGCAAGGAAGGGAAGGTGGAAAAAGCTCGAGCGGTGATTCAAAGGATGGAGGAAGGTGGTTTATGTCCAGATTGCGTTTCCTACAATACTTTGATAAGTGCATACTGTAAAGCAGGAAATCTACCAGAGGTTTTGAGGATAATGAAACGAATGGGTGAAAAAGGTTTGAAAATGGATAATTTTTCTCTCAATACAATGCTTCATACTCTTTGTCAAGAAAGGAAGCTTGATGAGGCCTACGAGTTGCTCTCTGGTGCTCATACCAGGGGTTATCTTGTCGATGCAGTAAGTTATGGCACTCTTATTGCTGGGTACTTTAGGTGTGGAAATATGGAAAGAGCTCTTAAGCTTTGGGATGAGATGAAAGAGAGAGAGGTAATTCCCACTATTATCACATACAACATCATAATTGGAGGGCTCTGTAAATCAGGTAAAACTCAGCTGGCAATCGCTAAACTGAACGAACTTTTAGAGAAGGGCATAGTGCCTAATGAAATAACATACAATACTATTATTCATGGATACTGCTGGGAGGGGAACATTGAGAAAGCATTTCAATTTCACAACAAAATGGTGGAGAATTCTTTTAAGCCTGATGTATATACGTGCAACATTCTTCTTCGGGGACTTTGTAGGGAAGGTATGCTTGAAAAAGCCATTAAGCTATTTAATACGTGGATTGATAAAGGGAAGACCATTGATGTAGTAACTTATAACACCTTGATTACGGCTCTTTGTAAAGATCAAAGACTTGAGGATGCTCTAGGCCTTGTTGCTGAAATGGAAGAGAAAAATGTCCAACGTGATAAGTACACACATAATGCTATTATTGGTGCACTTACTGATGCTGGAAGGCTTAAGGAAGCAGAAGAATTTTTGTCAAATATGACAGAGAGAGAAAGACCATCTGAACAGCGGCCACAAATGGATAACAGGGAACATGAACTCACAGCTGAATCTTCACATGAACTAGATCCAAGTTCAACTGCTTATTCACAGCAGATTGATGAGCTTTGTGCAGAGGGAAGATATAAAGATGCGATGCTTATCTATACAGAACTTACTCAGAGAGGTATTGTTCTACAGAAGTCTACTTATTTCACTCTGATAAAAGGACTGATCAAGAGGAGAAAAAGTGTATCAAAGACAGGTTGATAATGGCACCGAAAGTGTAAATTCTTGCTGTCATACCCCTTGACTCTGGCTGAGAATGATGACTTCAGTATCCATCACATACAATCATGCCCGGTATGCAACACTGCAATGATCCTAGGTAAAAATATGTTATTTTTCCTTGAGCACAGAGCAGATGAATTTTTCTCTTACACTTCCGTTTTTTGACTAGTTCGTGAGTAACTTAGTTGATTAAAATTATTTGTAAAATGTGATCAGGAAGAAGCAGGATGATAAACTCACTTAACTAGAGTTCATGCGCATAATGTTTTATTAGGAGATGTGTTAGTGCAATTTGAACTGCAATGCTGCAAAATTGGATTGAGGCCATGTAACTCGTTAGGTTATAATGGGTTCTGGATGTGCAATTGACCTTACCTGTATTCCAGTGCGAAGAGATATTTGAAAGAAAGTTAGCATATGTACTGATAACTCTAACTAAAATGCCATTCGGTGAAATTCCACTAAATTTGGGTCTTCATACGAATGTAGTGTCCCTGGCCTAATAATATGAAGTTGACAACTGCTATGCATTGGGAAAACCCCTCGAAGATAAAGGCTAGTAGGCTTTGTAGACATCTTATGCGACATGATTCCCGGAATGCAGGATATGATGATATCTATTGTCCATTTTTTTGGTTTCTTTCTTTTGCGTTACTGTGTAACCTACAAGATCACCTTGGAAATCATAGCAGAGACATTAATTGCACGACATCTTGCTAGCTTTTCTGATCAAAGAATTCTCTGAATACAATGAATAGCCATGTGGCAAATAAAGCTTTTGGAGCATATAATCAAAGTCGAGCTCAGGATGCAAACAACTAAATTCCCATGTGTAAATGATCTCCTAAATTGAACTCTAAAATTTGACTTATCCATGGGAAGAAAAAGGAACAATAAAGTTGGGGTAGGTTGGAAAACCATTTGTGGCTCAGGCTCCTTAGCAGTTTCCTACAGGGGATGAGTATATTGTATAACTTAGATAATCTAACTTCGAAATATCTGCTTGATGTGGTATGAGAATCAAAGTAACACACTACAATGGTACAACCAACACTAGATAGAAAATAGGGAGAAGAGATAGAAGTTACTAGAGATAGAAGCTAGAAAGGATTTAATCATTGGAAGCAAAAATTAAGCTTTCAATTATATGATTGTAGTCCAAGGGAGAAGGGAAATTGAACTCATACAAGGGAATACTTACCCAAGTATTCAAGAGGGTTCTATGGAGATATAAGAGGGTCTTCAGCTCACAAAGCAGCCTAAGCATCAATGCTCATCCAAAAACTAAGTAATGAACTAAACCCTAACTACTATTTATAGTAGTAGATAAACCAACCTAAGTAGTTACAATAATACCCTTAAGCTAAAAGCGAGGAAATCAAGGAAATTTGCTTTGCCTAGCTAACTGGCCGCTTGGCCATTTGAATGTAGCCACCCCTTTGCTTAAAATCTCCACTTTAGTATGTTGTGGGCCTTCTATGTTTCTTTCATTGATCTTGTAAAGTCTTCAAAGCACTTTTCGTCTAGTTGAAAGGTCTTTATGTCCATGATTGGCTAACCTTTATCCCATCACGTCCAATTCCTCAAATGTTCAATGCATCTTAGCTTGTTTCAGTTAAAATTGGTGTGGAAAGTGCAGAGCTTACCAAGGGCCTTAAACAAGTAAATACATGAGGAAATTCTTGATGTTACTCGAGTAGTGATAGTGACAAAACACGGAGTCCGGATGGTTTTTCTATGTATTTCTACATGAACTGTTTATCGACCATTAAAGATAACTTGATGCAGGCTATAAACCATTTCCATAATCCGGAGCATTTTGAAAGAAGCTTAAATCCCTCCTATATTGCTCCCATTCCAAAGAAGAGCGGTACAAAGGAACCTAAGGACTATAGACCTATCAGTCTGATAGGCAATTTCTACTAGATTATACTCAAAGCTCTTGCATACAGATTAGAATTTTTGCTACGTAAGCTGATCAGCACCTCCCAGACGGCTTTCCGTAGTGATAGAAATATCACTGATGTAGCTTTGATCGCGAATGATGCTTGGACTCAAGAAGGAAAACCAAGAACCTGGAATTCTTTGCAATTTGAATATCGAGAAGGCTTTTGATCATGTCAATTAGAGGTTTTTGCTAGATTAATTGAGACAAATGGGTTTCAGTCTCAATTAGGGCGGGCAAACGGACGACTTGGTTGGATATGGGCGGGTCAAAAACAGATTAGGTAAAAACAGATAAAATATCCGACCAACCCATATTTAATACGGATAAAAAATGGGTTAACTGTTGCTGCTTACCCAAGACTCTATATATGTCTACTGCCTTATCTTGCTTCTATATAGTTCTCTTAACTCCATCAAAGTGAGGCTTTGTGGATATACACTATATCGTCTTCGTATTATAGATATTATACCTTAGCTTCCTTTTTCTTTTAAAACTTGGAATTGAGGAAAAAATTTAAATTCCTAATTTGATACCAGAGTCAACTTAGAGATTAATATTCTGGTAAACATAACAATGAGAGGATATGTCGCAAATTTTCCAATTGAATAACCTCAGGAAAGNAAATGATTGGAGGGTGCTGGTGATGATGATCCATTCTTGACCCATGGTTATCCATTTTCTAAAGTGGTTAATATGGATATGATCCATATTTTATCCATTTGAATAAATCAATTATACGACCCGTTTTTAAGGGATAATATGGGCAGATACTTGAAAAACTTATCCATTTTGCCAGCTCTAGTCTCAATGGATAAGTTGGATCAGCTTTTTTATTTCATCTGTGAAGCTCTCGGTGCTCATAAATGGTACACCTCATGGTATCTTCTCTAGTCAAATAGGATTGAGACCATAAGACCCTCTATCTCTTTTTCTTTTTGTTCTGGTCATGGAGGGACTTAGTAAGACGTATACAGCTCGGTTCAGGCAATGGATTTCCTGCTTCGCTGCAAATTTCAGGGTTTTACTAGATTTGAACATCTCTAAGCTGATGACACCTTGACCTTGATTTTTCATGAAGCCAAAGAACAACGACTTTTGCTCTTAAGGATGATCCGAACAATTTTAAGGCAGTCTCTGGGCTTCATATAAATTATGCAAAAAGCTTCATTTTTCCTGTCAACAATTTTCCTGACTTGTGGAATTTTGTAATGCAACATTGGCTCACTTCCCAGAAAGTACCTAAGACTTCCTTTGGAGGAAAAACACAAATCAGTTGCCATTAAAAATAAGGTCCTTGAAAAGTACCTCGGACTTCCCACTTACACTATTCACTGTTTCCTGGCCCTGGCCCTGCTTCTATTTTAAAGCGCATGGAGAAATTAAGAGGGACTTTCATTGCCAAGGGAATAAACAATTCAAGTCCTTTTCTCTTGTAAAGCGGAGCAGTGTTACCACAGACAAGCAAAAAGGAGGTCTTGGCATTAAAAACCTTAAAGTGTCACAATGAAAGTCTATTCGCAAAATGGAATGGAGAAGAAAATGCACTTTGGAGAGGGTTCTAGTTGATAAACACACACCGGATTGTCGCTAGCACACCAGAGTTTCAAATGCTCCTTGTGGCATTGGAGTAATTATGTTGTAATATTCGCGAAGCAAATGTTGACTTAATGGTAAGTTGTGGTAGAAAGATTAGATTTTGGGAACTCTTGATTGGACTGAAAAACTTTCTTCATGACATCTACAACATTTCTTCTCTTCACGATACTGCGATTGTCGATTTCCCTAAGAAGAATCTTAAATGACTGAAAAATCGAATGAACGTGTTCTATTTTGAAGCTTTTCAGCTCTACTGTTTTGGACCAGCATAAGGTTGATTCTATTAAATGGAAAGGTGGTGAAAAAAAATTAGATGGAAATCTTCTCTGTTGCTACTGACTATTGACTTGTTGCAACGTTAAATTTTAGCCTTGGAGGAAGAGTTGGTACACAAAGCACCTTTACAGGTTTTTTGCTTCTCTTGGCTAGTGGCCAAGGAAGCATGTCTCACCTGGTCTAATCTCCGGAAAAGAGGAATACAGCTTTGTAACGGAGAACGATCACTTATCCGACTTGGAGCATGTTCATTGCAATATTTGGCAAGAACTGAACAATGTCCCATTCTAGATTGTTTAGCCAACTGGAACAGAGTTGGACTCAAAAAATTTGGAATACCATAACCTTTAGTCATTTGATAGATAATTTGGATTGAAAGAAACAACACAAGTTTTGAAAGCAAATGGTAAATAGCCTTAAATACAAATATATATTTTTGCTAGCTTTTTGGTGCAACATGGTCTATGCAAATGATGTAGATTCCATGTTTAATATGTCCGAGGAGTTGCACAATCTGTAATTTTTGACTGACTTAGTGCAGGTTATATCATCTATAAAATGTACCCTTACTAAAAAGGTTCAACAACCTTAAAAGTATTCAGAGAAAATTATCAATCCTCAAATTTCTACAATTAAGCTTTTATTCTTATGTTGTAGGCTCCTGAGATGAAGGTCTTATGTAAACTAGTGAATTGATTTGTGTATTTTGTTTGTACACCTTTGTTGCTTCTTCAGTGAATCATGACACCTAAGCTATGTCATTCTTAGATCTTCTTTCCAGTTTTGTTCTAGTAGTAATATAATATGCCACTGTTAATATCACAAATTACATTCGGATTATACTTGGCCTTTAAATGTCCTAATATGTTACGATAATAGTATTGTTTAAGGCTCGGTTGGGACGCACTTAAACGGTGGAACTCAGGGTTGCTAGATAGGTGCTTCATGTTGCTGAAGTGGCACTTTAGTGCAGGTATCAAACTCGCCTAAATACTGTCTTAAAAAGGACAGTACTACAAAATAAAGCCCCTGGTCCCTGATGGTCTTAATTTGTTCTTCTTCCAAAAATGCTGGGGTATTTTGAAGACGGACATCTGGAGAGCAGTGGATGCTTTCTATAAAAAAGGCTCTTTTGCCAGAAGCTTAAACTCCACTTTCATTGCTCTAATCCCTAAAAAGAAAGGAGCAGAGGAGATTAAAGATTTCAGACCCATCAGCCTGCTGGGTAGTGTATACAAAATATTTTCAAAATTAATGGCAGGAAGACTTAAGAAGGTCATAAATAGTCTGATTTCCCCTAATCAGAATGCTTTCATCAAAGGAAGACAAATTACTGATGCTGCTTTGGTTGCCAACGAGAGCCTTGATAACCCGATTTAAAGGAGGAAAAAAGGGGTGGCCTGCAAGCTTGATTTAGAAAAAGCTTATGATCATGTTAATTGGCAAAACCTGGTTAATTTGTTGAAGTTGATGGATTTTGGTGATAAATGGATTAGATTTTGTATTTCAACTGTGAAATTCTCCATATTAATCAATGGTGATGCCCAAGGGTTTTTCAGCTCCCAAAGAGGCCTCAGGCAAGGTGATCCTCTATCACCATACCTCTTTGTTCTGGTTATGGAAATTCTTAGCACAATGTTGAGGAGAGCTGAACGTTTGGGATGGTTAAAGGGGCTAAAGATTGGCAAGACAGACCAAAGCATGATGCTTACTCATATCTTATATGCAGATGACTCTCTCCTATTCTGTGAAGCTGATAGAGCTCAAATGCTATATTTGAGAGGGGTGCTCCTATATTTTGAGGCTGTCACTAGACTAAAAGTTAACTTGGCTAAAAGTAGTACTTTTAGCATCAATGCTGATGAGTGTGTTGAGGATTTGGCAGATATAATGGGTTGCAGACTAGAGAAATTGCCCACTACTTACCTGGGGCTTCCACTAGGGGTGAAGCAAAATGATAAGAATATTTGACAAGGGGTTATTGATTGATGTAGCAAGAAGCTAACTCCATGGAAAAAACAATATCTGTCTTTGGGGGGAAGGCTTGTGTTGATTAACAGTGTCCTAGATGGTATCCCAACATACACCATGTCTTTGTTTAGCATGCCCGCAGCAGTTGAGAGAAAACTGGACTCTATTAGAAGACAATTCCTATGGGAAGGAAATACAAACAAAAGAAAAACTCATCAGGTCAAGTGGAGTTTGGTCACAGAAGATAAGAGGACATGGGGGATGGGAGTAAGAAACCTGAAACTGCATAATAAAGTTGCTATTCAAATGGTTATGGAGATATAGTAGGGGGAGTGATGAAGTCTGGCAAAAAATGTTGGATGTTATCTATGGGGAAAAAGAGGGTTGGAGACAAAGCTCTGCTCAATTGAAGCACTATGGGGGAATTTGGAAGAAAATAAGTGAAGGATGGGACGAATTCCTGCAGCATACAAAACTGGAAGTTGGCAATGGTGCTAGAATCAAATTCTGGAGAGACATCTGGAATGGAGATGAGTGCTTTAAAAATAGGTTCCCAGACTTGTTTAGCTGTGCTTTAAATAAAGATGGTCACATTGCAGATTTTGACCCAACATCAGGCTGGCATATTACTTTCAGGAGAAATTTGAATGATTGGGAGTTGAATAGCTTCTTTCAATTGCTGCAACAACTGAGCACCTGATCAATCCAGCTGAATAAAGCAGATAATTTGATTTGGAACAACACCAGGGATAAACAGTTTTCAGTTAATAATTGTTACAAAATGTTACTACAACAGAACAGTCAGGAGGACCATAATTGGCCTAGGAAGATGATATGGAAAACCAAGGCGCCTATGAAAGCAGCTTGTTTTGGTTGGTTGGCAGCTAGGGATGCCTGTCTCGCTCAAAATAAATTGCAACGGAGAGGCTATTCCTTGTGTAGTAGATGCTACTTCTGCAAAGCTGAACAGGAAACTGTAGAATGCAGAATCTCAAGACAATGCTGGGAGCTCTTTCTTACTATTACAGGAGTAGCTATGGTCATACCACAGAATATTACTGATTTACTGGGAATATGGCAAGCTCAGAAAATGAAGAGAAACTTGAAATAGACTTGGAGGACTATTCCCATATGTATTATGCGGACTTTATGGCTGGAAAAAAACAAGGCATGCTTTGAAGGGAAGAGGGTGTAGATTGCTAAAGTTCAAAACAAATGTATCAAGAACTTATTTTTCTGTTGCTTTGGTAAAACTCTAGATACGATGGATCATTATTTGGATTTTTTGTATTTCTTGGGGGGAAACATGTAGTATGATGGGGAACCTGTTGTAGTTTCAAAGTTTGTACTGATTTCTGTACCATCTTGGTACTTTTTTTTAATAAAAGCCTTTACTTATCAAAAAAAGATATAGATGACAAAGCGAAACCGTTATTTTTAAGGAGACTTTATGTTAGTGACTAGGAATAGGAAATTGGAAATTTAACAAGTTAGTAATATAAATTAGAAACTTACATCTTGATCATAAACATAACATGATGCTTGAACTTGATTGACAAATTTTTTGCTTCATATATTTCTATTAATTGAAGTTTCTCAATTCTTTTGTCCACATAGTTCTATTTGTATTTATAGTCATTGATTCTTGAATACATACAATTCTTTTGGTTCATTACCGACTTCTTTGCCTGTTAATCGTGCTTTGCACTTTGAGCTGACAATTAGCATTTTCGGGTTTGATAACACTATACAATATGATGTGCTTTATGGCTAACATTCATCTGCATGTTTTCATCCATAAAAGGCTACTCAGAATCATATCTAAAGTATCTATTCTTTTTCTGCTACTTGTAGGCTGGTGAACCATTCACCTTTCCCCATCAGATTGGCATTTGACTGTATATTCACTCCTGTGATCCGATTATCCACAGTTCTCTTTTCTAACTTTGATCACCAATGTTGACCTTTTTCATGTTTGGAAGCTTTTAATGGATTAAGGGGTAGCAAATTGGAAGATGTTGCATGGCTAAAAGATGAAGTCTTGATGATACAATTCTGACAAACTCTTTTTAGAAGGAAAAAAAGAAGGAAAAAGAACCACCTTCCTGCTATAACTTTGAGGATGCAAATGGTGATTATCTCAATTCCACTGGATCAGAGGAATGTTTAAGTCTACCGAACTTGTGATCGAGGAAATTATAGAGAAAAGACAGCAGCAACAGTCTTGGAAAATGTTTAAATTCGATGTTACTGATCTATTACCTAAAGAGCTCTCAGCCATTCACTATTGCCAGGGGAATTCTTTCTTAAATTTACGGTGCTCGACCATATAAAGGATTGTAGACATCATTCTTGTCAAGCAGACTCCACTATCTCAGCCACATGAAATCCTGTAAGTGTGTTCTCTGGGGCTATCCCAATTGGTAAGGGATAATATTGGAGTACTTTACTGGAAGATTTTGAGTCTTTTAATAAACATGCAATACTCTTTACTTAATGTAACATTTTTAGGGGTTACTCCTGAAGCATTTTATACTCAAATTCGAGATGTTTTCTCCTTAGCATTGTAATTTTCTTTTATTATGCGTAGTCTTGACTTGAAACACAGAATAGCCTTTGCATTCAAACTATCTTCTCATCAGATCTTTTGATCTTTGGCTAATCATTTTCTCTTCAACTTCTTATCGCTCTTCAAACTACAACCTTAGCGTCTTTTCAGCGAGAAAAGCTGGTCTAAATCTTTCTGGAAGGTGGCACTCCTGTTCCAAGTTGTAGGCGATCGGAATCTTCTTTTCCAGGCGAGTTCCATAATAGCTACTGCTTGATCCTAAGTTTTAAATGATGGTAAAATTGACGTAGTTATCTTGCTAAAGATAACTTTTTAGTGGTTGTCAGAATGCATTTTGATAAAGAGTTGAAGTTATTATGGTAATCTTAAAGGAAAACATAGTTTGGAGAGTTAAGTCATCTTATTATGCTTCTAAAATGTCTCTAAGATGGCCTTGTTACTTATTAATTTGATCTTCAAAGATTGAAAGTATAAACCAAAACAACTAGGCTTGACTCTTGAGATCCCAAATACATGAAACAAAACCAGTAATGGATAAAAACTTAGTTTTGAGTGGTTTCTGTTGTTAGAAGAATCAGTTTGTAAAACAGTGGGGATTGATATACACTCCTCTGATTCTTTTGTCAATTGCAGGGAAGATAGTATAGTTTGTACATTAAGGGGTCGTTTGGTTGGAATACGAATTATATCGGTATAAGTTATATTGGGATAAGTTATGCTGGGATTAGTTATGGTGGGATTGTTGTTTATTCATTGTTTGGTATATTGTATTAAGAATGTCAATTGCATAATATCTAAGAAGAAGGTATAAGTTATAGATACTGGTGCTAATTACCCCACCTTCTATAAGGTATAAGTTATCCCGGTGTTAAAATTAACACCGGGGTAACTTATACCTGATTTGCTAACCAAACAGAGTATTAAGGCGGTATTAAATTTTTATACCACCCTTATACCTTCTTATACCTCATACCAAACGACCCCTAAGTGTGATGTGTTGAGCACATAAGGTACATTATTCGAGTCAACCGGAAAAAAAAATCCAATATGGTCTGGTTTGATTTGGTTTGGTATTGGGAAAAAAATCGATCATAATTGGTTTGGTTTGATTTTAATTAAAAAAAATCAAATCGAAACCTAATCAACCCAATAGTATATTTACAATATACTTATATTTATTGTAAAGTAATTTATACATATTTCTTAAACTTTTTTTTATTTTTATTTTAATTTTTTAACGTATTATTTCAAGTTTGGACATAACATTCTTGAATGGTATGCCCCACTGAGGTTTTCTTAAGAAAGAATCTCAGCTCCGATCCTGGCGAGTGACTGCGGGGAGCTATTGTGCAGCCTAGAAAGGCGGAAGTGGAAAATCGCTTATACCGAGTTCCCCAACAACAGCTTAGCTTAGTAGCAACACTCTTTCTACTGGCGTGACAAATTTTATACTCCATAAATATAGTAACTCAAACAAAGTTCAAATCAATACTAATGCTAACAAAATAAATTCAATTCAACACTAGGAATGACGATAGTGTCGGGTATCTATTTTTACTTTACATTGGTTTATAATGAAAATGCATAACTTTTTTTTTTTTGAGCAAACAGGAAAATTATATATTAATAACTACTTGTTTTGTACATAGCCTTCATAGTTTTTGTCACTAAGGACACTTTGATTCCCTAAGCTTGCTAGAATATTACAAGCATCATAAGATAATGTCTTAACACAAACATAGAGTTTCTTTTGGTCACTTTCCATAAAAGAGTTTACATAACATGGTGATAATACAAAAACTTGTTTTCCTTTCTGCCTTGCTTTCTTTGCCAAGTGATGTTCAATCCTATTCCCTGCCTGAAAGTGTGTTGGAGGATCACATTCTGCTGGTGCATGAACAACCTGCATTTATCAACAATGTGTTATATATTTTATTCCCTTGTTGTATTGAATGAATCACCTCCGTGGAGTCCGTCTCTATCTCTAGCGGAAACATTCCCCATTCTTGTGCTGTTTTGAGCCCCTCAATTAGTGCCTTCATTTCTGCTTGTAGTGAGCCATTAGCCTGGGTAGATTTAGCAAATCCAACTATAGTTGTATTCGCATAGGTATCTCTGATTACTCCTCCAAGGTCACTTTTTTCATTATAGCATCGATGTTGAGTTTAAACCACCCTCTAGGTGGTTAAAAATACATAACTTAGTTTATCTTTTTCTTTAGGGCTTAGTAATGTAATTAATAGTACTTATTAGCTATACTTATTTTAGCATGACCTATATTTTGATTATGTTAATCTTCATTATGGCTTATTAATTAGCAATATTTGCTTTATGTGATTTTATTATCTTTGTTTTTAAATATTTTAGTATAATGCTATGACTTATCTCATATTATTGTGTTATTTTTTTTGGAAAATACATTATATAGTTGTATCTTACTAGGACTTAAGAAATATTTGGAGCACATGTTACATATTTTGTGCTATGAAGACTTTGCCGGAAAAAAATCCGAAAATCCAGAAAAATTGAAAAACCCGAGATTGAAAAACTCAACTTAGTTGGTTTTGTTTGGTTTGGTTTATTTTATGGATTTAAATACTCGACACTATTGATTTGGTTTGGTAATTGAAAAATCCGAACCAACCCGACCTATGTATACCCCTAAATTAAAGTATGAAGTGTTACAGTAAATAGCTGTTGCATCTATTGAGCATGTGTAGATAACAATACAAACACTTTCTTTTTGGGAAATAATGGTGTTTGGATCAACTTGAGCATACTTCAACTATTCCATAAAATACATGTTATTTCTCACCAACATAAGTATCGGTTAACTCAATGCTTGAACGAATTATAGTTTATTTCTAGGCTTTCTACTATATGAATATGACGAGTATAGCATAATAAAATAAATGAATACGATGAATAGCTAACATTGACTATAAGCATCGATCTCAACGATGTATTGTGTAGAGGCTTTAGGAAGTCATTCTTCGAAGGAAAATACGTACTTTCTACATTGACATATATATCATTAAGATCCATTAGTCATTTGATGACATAAAGATGATCTGGATGTTTAATATCTCAGGATTCAGAATGTGCAGGTTCAACATATATAATAGTGATTTCCACAGGGAGGAGATCTCTTTCTTTTCTTGTAGCCATTAGATGACTAATTCTAGCCATTTTTAAAGGACTGATAGATTGTTCCATTTTTAAAAGACGGAAATCATTTTTCAGTAAAATATGTTCGATAAGGAAGACACTTTTTCTAGTGTTTGGTTTACCAGAAAATTAATGTTTTCAAAAGAGAAAAATGACTTCCCTCATTTATAACAAAATTCATTTTTCGTATAACTATCTTAACTTTTAATTTCACATCACTTGCTCTAACCAACACTTAAGCATTCCTATCATTCTCTTGAGGAAAATTCTTTTGCTTGACCTATCATAAAATGTCATTTGCCTCAAAAGTCACCTGAATGTTTAGTGTATCAGGATTGATCAGAATGTGTCAATTTTTTGAGTCAATTGTAAGGCATTCAAATAGTTCTGATTTCGACAAGGAAGCATTTTTTTGTACGTAGCCATTAGATGACTAATTCTTGTTGGGCTAATTGTACGGCTGTATGCGTCTTTGAAGCTAGGGGTAAAGGGAGTAACCGGCCCATAGACGGGCAAAGACACTAAGCCGGGCCCAACGCCATTACCAGAGACGGACCCGTGATTTTTACACGATGGGGGCACATTATTCTGCTCAACCAGTGCACCCTGAAGGCTTTTTAGTGTTCAGGATGCCAAATGGTTTAAATTAGCTATTTTCAAGGTATACACACATATATATACAAAATTTTTATCGAAGCTTACGGTGTCCGGTGACCCCTCATTGGGATATGTAGGCCCGCCTCTGGCCATTACTCCACCATCTCCTTACTCGTCCCGCCAAATCATTGCCTCTGATACCAGTTATAGGGCTAAAACGGGCATGGTGTGATACTGTCCGTTTTAGACCAAACCTGCATGATTTTTCTCAAAAGACCTTACATCATTACAAGTATCCAACTCCTTATAAGTAACTTATTTTTCTTTTCTACTTTTCATGTGGGACTTTGTTCACACATCCAACAACTCTAGCCAGGTCTAGATCATTTTTCTTCCATAGTATTATATGTGAATGCATTTTCTTATTAAAAAAAATGCATTTTTATACCATTTCCTATCAGCTGAGATATTTAAGTCTTGGATACTCGCAAAATTCCGGTGAGCTAAGAAGATTGATTTACTCTTGGTATATACACCAAGGATTTTCCTCGAAAATAGATAATTCCTTCTCTTTAGTATATTGTAGTTTTATTTTAATGTTTTGAGGATTTGCTTCTATTGTATGTTCCTAGTGTTAGTTGACACATTATGAATATGACTCTATATTCTTTCTATAGATGTATGCTAAGCACGATTTACGTATGTCTTTGACCTTTTTTCTCCAAGACTTTAACCTCTGGACATAATGGTCAGTCTGCGTGGCCCATACTTCCAAAATAAGTACTATTCAATTAGCACAAAATTATACAATAGTATGTCTCTCTCTAATGTTCTTATTTTGCATTCATTGAAATATAATAGCTAGTCAAAAAGCAAGGTGTATATCATATACTAACTTTTTGGGTTAGTGTCTGCAGGAATTGACTGTACGGGGTGTAAGTCAAGTTATTACACAATTTCAACATGCATTGGATCACAAACAGAGATTCAGAGTTCGAGTCTTACCGTCATCCATTATCAAAAGAAAGAAAAAAAGAATGTTCACATGTTTCGCTCATCATAAAGAATTAAAAAACACAAACTTGAGGATTAAACATACTTGAGGAGGCTGTTGTATATATAATTAATGAAACGGAAAGGGGTCATATATGCCAGTGAACTATGCGAATTAGGACAAATATGCCCGTCGTTAATAATTTGGCACAGATATGTCCAATCCGTCC